AGTTGCTGACATTTAGAAGGTCAAAGGTTCACGTCATATAAATTTAGACATATCGTCAATACGTCACGTCAATACATACATCATGCTATATGTTATTTGATATTCTAATGTTTGCAACATTACTTATTGCATATATTAAATTAGTACGGGTGAAAATCCGAAATGGATTTCTTATGATAATGAAGGAAAACTTGTGCCAAATTATGACGATTTTTATACACTAGTAAGCTTTCTTTTCAATATACAAATTTTATACAATAGTAAGCTTTCTTTTCAATATACAAATTTTTTTAGAATCCAAATTTCTAATTTCTACACAATTAATTATATTCATAAGTGGGATACGTTTAGGCATGTATCATAAATTCTATATCCTTTGCCCTAACGATACCCCGCAAGGATTGTTTATTCATGCAGGAACCCCTGCGGTTTCAATCTATTTGCGCAAATATTATTAATATATTTTGTATCCATATCGTTATGAATTGATTTCAATTTAGATCTACGATTCCGTTATTCACATTATTTCAACAATCCAGGGTAATTGACATTACTCGCTCACTAATTGATATATTCCAGCATGAAGGATACATGCCTGACGGTCGTAGCGGGATGTCAAATGGGATAACACAAGGTGGAAGTAATGCTGATATGGTGGTTGTAAGTTTTTTTTTTTAAAATTTTACTGTATAAAATTTTTAAGTAATTACAATTAATACTTTACGGTTTCACTTATTATTCTTATTATTATTATTGTTTAAAAGGCCGAAGTATTCCTAAAAAAAACTTTACTGATAACATAAACTGGACATTAGCCTATGAGGCATTATTAAAAGGTGCCGAGTATAATCCATAGGAGCGAGGAATTTTTGAAGGAAGAATGTTTTTACCATATTATAAAGCGTTAGGATATATTCCATTTCCTACGCATAGAATGTTGAGTTATGCTTATGTACCTTGTAGTAGAACCATAGAATATTCAACTAATGATTGGTCGATTGCTTTGGTTGCTAAAAGTAAGTTTTAATCAAGATAACGGATATGTGATAAGAAATTAGTTTATAAACATTTATTTTCGATTGGTACGTAGAATTGAATAAAAGAAGCAGATTACATAAAATATCAAAGTCGAGCCAAGAATTGGGAAAATTTGTGGTATCCTCATAAGACCATCAAAGGTACTTACAATCCGTATCTTTTATTTCAAATCTACTTTCTTAATAACCTTTTTAATAACATCCTATAATAATAATAATAGGTGCTAAAGGATTCATTTTACCACGATTTGTAAATGGATCTTTTGATACATCATGGAACGTGTTTAATCTTTCTGAAAACACTCCGTATTATGAAGGATCTGCTTGGGAATATAGTTGGATGTTTTACATGGCAATATATATATATATTTTCTCATTTTAAATACGCGATCTATCACATTATTACTCAACTAACATAAATTCTGTTTACTTTTATATCATAATACAACTCTATAACAACTTTATAACAACTATAAGATGAAAAAGATTGATACATCTTGCTGGAGGACCACAAGCCTTTGAACGTCGTCTCGACAAAACTTTCGAAAATAAATCTTATTTAACTGCATACTTCAATATAGGAAATGAGCCAGATTTTTTTCATCCTTGCTTATATCATTTTATTGGCAAACAATGGAAAAGTGTTGAAGTTATTAGAGACATTTTGGAGAAAAAATTTGGAAAAGGACCTGGTGAATCCCTGGTTTGTAAAGAAAAAAAAAAGAAGAATAGAATTAATTACTTATTGTGCTATGTTACTAGGAAATGATGATTTAGGTGCTATGGGAAGTTGGTTCGCGTTTCATGCTATGGGAATTTATCCCATGTAAGAGTATTTTATCTGGAACATTTTCATTCTCAATTTATTATTTTTTAAAATTCATTTTATATTCTTAAATTCTATATAACAACAATGAAATAGGGCAGGACAAGATATATATCTAATCAACTCACCACACTTTTCAAATGTAACCATTTATCTCTCACCAAATATCACTTTCACAATATTAGCAAAAAATCATTCTACTGAAAATATTTATGTCCAACGTGTTAAATTAAATGGTGTAAATTGGTATAAGACCTAGTTTAGACACCAAGATATTCAGAACGGAGGTATTTTGGAAGTCGAGATGGGGATGCGATTAGTACAACGTGGGGTGTTAATGGAAAAAATGGTGAGTGTGATACCTTCCAGTATGTCAGATTATTGAAAATAAATATTACTTTATCTACGTATGTACAGTACGTACAGTACGTGCGTATATTGTGCGTAACTATTATTATTATATTTTGAATTTGAAAAGGTTCAAATCATTTTCTTTACTATCGAACAAACTACGCAGCTTTATGAGTATCGGCTTTCCAGACACCACTTGCTATAATTACATAAAATTAACATTTCCTATCGTTATGTAATTGTTACTAATGACTGGTCAGAGAAATCATATGCATCAATGCGTAATTTAACATTAAGCATTTTATGCGTACGTGTACGTACGTAGTATCAGAATATTACACACAAACCTTACGTAATTTTACGTAATTTTACTTAAAAGTCTTAAATGTTTCACCTTCGCGTTACTATGCCTTATGCTATCTTTCATATTGACAACTGTGATTTCTATCGATAGTTTCACCATGTAAACAACAACACGTCGATAACGATAAGAATTAACATGCTAAAAAAAATATATCGCAGGTCTACCCGCGTGTACGTAAATGCTAGTAGAACAGTTTCTATATTTGGGTTTCATTCAAATTTTAATGCTAATACATACCGATATGTGTAATACGTA